CTGTGCAAAAATCTAAAATCTTGAAATATTTTCATTTTTGTATATTTTGGGTCACTTTAGGAAAAAACATCAAACTTCAGGTTAAAAAAAAAGACGTTTGGGTTATTTTTACTGCTGTCAGATGTCAAAACGGATCAAATTTGACCAAAAACAGAATGTAAGGGTTAAAAATTCATCAAAATAAATCATTTGTAGGAACCAGAATCTGTCGAATTCTTACCTCCTTGTTCCAACTGATTCTCCACGACTGACTCAGCTGTGACGAAGCAACACAAGCGAGACGGAAAACCACAAAAACAAGACACGCAACGACCAGAAAGAGACAAAACTATCACAAAGAGACACAGAACGAGATAAAAAAAATGAGAAAACCAAAGACCCTGTTCTAAAGAGACCCAGAAAAACACAAACAAGACAGAAAAACAACAACAAGACACACAGAAGGACAGAAAAAAGACTGAATCGTCTCACTGGGTTTGCAGAGGCAGCAGAAATGTAAATAGTTAAATGTAGAGACAACATTAGTTCCAGTGTTGATGACGTCTGTGGATCAGGTTTTAGACATTTTTGTAGAATTAATAATCAAACAAAACAAACCTTTCTTTTAAAAACACCCAGTTTTTCTGATTCCTGTCAGACATTTCTGAGTTCTTGCTCCTCCTCTGTGGTTGGATTTTATATCGCTGTGAAAAAAAACAACCCAGAAACAACCGCCTCCATCAGCATGTGCACTGATTTCCCTTTTCTCTCTCCAGGTGAAGCTCCGTTCGCAGAGATCTCAGTGAACGAGCTGCTGCAGTTTCACCAGCGAGGAAAAACCCTGAAAAAACCGGCCAACTGCTCCAACACGCTGTAAGAGTCCACGGCCGACCCGAGGCAGCCCGGAGCTAAAAACACCCAAACAGCTTCTCTCCTCTGTTAAAAACACTCTGACACCTTCTGTCTCCTCCTCAGATACGCCGTCATGAAGGCCTGCTGCCAGTGGAAGGACCAGGACCGACCCACGCTGGCCGAGGTGAGCCGCAAGCTGGTTTCTGGGGAGAAGAGCGCCGCCGATAAAGTCCTGAAGGCGTCCGGGCCGGTGAACATCGAGCAGTACCTGCAGGAGGCCGGATACGGGGAGGCCAACAGCTACACGGTGTTCTGAGCGGAGACAAACGGTGCTGCTGGGAACTGAAACGTTGGACTTTTTTGTTCTACTTTAGACTCACAGATCAGGAGAAACGTGCACATTAATCCACTCTGGGAATCATCTCGTTCGTGTCTTTGGTGTTTAAGGCTCCAGCTAATTATTATTTTCTCTGTTTCTTGAGCTTTGACGAATCAACAGCCAACTTTACCCTGTTCACCTGATCACAGATTCTTGAATGTTGCCTCATAAAAAGTCTATTCTTGTCAAATTATGCGCCTGTTTAAAACAACAACCTGCAGATGATTAACTTAGAAGTAAAGAAAGGTTATCAGGCTGCAACTAGAGACTGCTCTGTTGAATGTTTTCTGGATCGGTTGTCTCGAAAATATCAGAAAATCATGATCAGAGTTTCCTCAGATGTCTTGTTTTCTTCAGTTTCCTGTCACAGAGGAGGAAAGAAACCAGAAAATATTCACAGTGAAGAAGCTGCAATCACAGAATTTACAGTTTCTGCTTGAAAAAAAATCACTCAAACTGGTTGGAATTAAATTAAATAAGTCAAAACTAATAATTTTGCATGAATAGACTTTAGGACGTGTAAATCTGACCGAATGAATGCACGAAGGTTTGCAAATCTTGATTGTAATTTATGTTGTCAGCATGTTTTTGTACGTTGTGTAAATGAATCGGTGGAGTGAATCGTGTTCACTGAGATTCGACTGTAAATAAACCACGCGGCTGCAGTAACGGGTATTATTTATTGGTAGTACTGCATACAGAGCCCTCGGCACAGCCAGCCGCCAGGAACACCTATTCTTCAGGTAGTTAGGTTGATTAAAGCTTCTAAAAACTATCCTGCATCCATGAAAAAATAGCTCTGATTGTAGTACAAAAAAACGGAAACGATACAAAACTAAAACTTCTGATAACTGCTAGAAAGGAAGTAAATGAAACCCGCCGGGCCGAGCGAGTCCGTTCCTCGATGTGCTCGGAGCCCGGCTGCGGAGGAGAAAACAAACTACGAGTTATAAATGTGATGGACTGTAAACTTCATCACTAAAGTTAAAGCACCGTTTGAAGACCAGCGAGAAGTTCCTCTTCTGGAGGAACTCGAGTAGCACCGAGTCTCAGCGAAACGCCCCGACGGGACGCAGACACGACTTCCTGAAAGTAAACCTTCGACCTCGACCCGCTCGAGGATCTCCGTCTTTCCGCTTCAGAGTCCAACATGTTGAAGAAAAGCCTTGGCTTCACTCCCGCAGGCTGTTGATGGAGGCGCAGATCTTCAGGGCGGGACCCAGCTTGATGTTCATGGTGGAGATCAGGTGATCCTCCCGCAGCAGCAGCAGCGCCTGGCCGTCGATCTCCTGCGACAGGAACTGCGCGGCCAGCTCCTCGCAACCTGGACGCAATCAGGACAACAGACTCACATCAACAGGCAGCAATGCGTCTGCAGCAGCCTGATAGAGGCAACAATGGGATTAAATCGCCTCAAAACGTGTCAGGATGATGCGTTTTGACTGTTAATAACCACGTTAACCGGCAGATAAACGGCACATGAAGTGATTTATCTGAAGGGTCTCCTTTCAGTCGCCGTAGTGCCACAAGAAGCAGCATTTTATTAAAGCATAATTATGTTATTCTGGGAAGCAGCGGCATTAAATGAGACGTTAGTGGCAGGTTATAAGGAGCAGCATTTTACTGGCGGTCACCAGAGTTCGTTTTCAAAGTTAAACGAAGCGGATAATGACGCTATAAGCTACATAAAAAGCAACGTAATGGACAGGATTTGGGCTTTTGTTGGAGTGAAAAGAGGCGTTTTACTGTAAGTCACCAGAGTCGTGTAAAAAGTGCCTCGTTTTGGGCTTTTGACGGCATAAAAAGTTTTCTTAGTAATGATGCTGCTCCACACATAAGTGACGGGTTCTGGCAGAATAAAGACGTCATTTTACAGCGCTGTAAATAAAAACAGCATTCATTTGTCTTCGAACGGTTTAAGAAGTGGCTTGTTTCAGCTTCTGACACGACGACGTTAGCAAATGGAGGAATACCACAAAACGTGACCTGCAGGTTTCTGGAGGCACCAAGAGGCTGAAAAAGCATCATGTGTTGAGCTTTTAGTGTCTTTTTGCTTCCTAAAGGATAAAAAACACTAAAAAGGTTTTGTTGGTGTAAAAAGAAGCTTTCTTTGTTTACGGAGGTGTCCTGACCTATTTTTATTTTCTTTTTGCGTGTAATTTTAGTCATTTTTAATTGTTGTTTTAACACTGAAATTAGTTTTTCTGTCTGAATCATGAGATTATTTTTCACACATTCTCGTGGACGAGCTCCGACCTTGCAGCGAGGAGATGAACCGGCACACTTCCTCCACGCTCCACTGCGCCGGCGTCGCCGACAGGAAGCCGGCGCCCTCTGGCGGGAGGCTCCCCGGCGCCGAGCTGTCGGACTGAGGGGCGCTGAGGTCGGCCCTGCAGGAGTGAGACGAGCTGGGAGACAGCGAAGGGGAGTCGTCCTCCTCTTCCTCGCCGTCGCTGGAGACGTCCTCCGAGCGGCTGGACTCGGAGTGACACTGGAACAGAGACACACAACGTCAGAACACCAAGTCTGCTGATCAGAAAACTCACCTCATGTGAAAGGAAGATTCTGTATTTTTCTTTTAGTAAATACAACGTAAGACCCAAAACCAACCGGCGTAACTCAACACATTCTGGAAACTTTCATTCAGATGAATACCAATAAAGCTGCAACTAACAATTACTTTCATTCATTCAGTTAAACCTCCTGATTAGCTGTTGATCCGTAAAATGTGGATCAGAGTTTCCTCAAATGTCTTGTTTAGAGGAAAACCAGAAAATATTCTCACTGAAGACGCTGCAATCACAGAATTTAGACTGTTTTTATTCTTAAAAAATGCTCAAACTAATAGTTTTTAGATTTTAACTGCTGCAGCTGTAACAGACAACAAAAAGCTTAAATCATTTCCTGTGCATCAGCCGCTAACGACAGCTGATCAATCAAACCTGTTTCCTGCAGACCGGCTTGTTTTGTTTGATAAAGCAGAACATCTTTAGTGACTGTAGGTCAGACAAAAAGCCTCGTGTCTGAGCTGCAACCATTAATAAGTTAAATTCTTATTTTTGATTATATAATAATCGGCTTCATGAATTTTAAAAAATAAGAACAGTCCAAACTGTGATTGCAGCTTCTTCAATGTGGATATTTTCTGGTTTCGTTCCTCTGTGACAGTAAACTGAACATCTTTGGACTAAACAAGACATTTGCGGAAACTGATGCACATTTTTACCAGCTGATTGGATCACCCAGTGACTGTATTTTCTGCCATCGTGGGACCTGCAGCGCTCACCTTGACAGGTAGATGCTTGCTGGACATCTTGTTGCAGGAGATGTTGGAGCTGCTCCGGCGTGACGAACCTCTTCTCCTGGCAGAGTTCTCTGGAGGAGCTGCAGCTGCCGCCTGGCCTCCAGCTCGTCCTCTGCTGGTCTTAAAGTGCTGACTGCAGCTCACGTTGTACCTGGAAGGTGGACGATCAGATCAGTCAGTATGAAAGAACGCCTTCTGGCATCATTCAAACGTATGAGAGGAACTAAAGCCTCAGTTTTGCTCTGTTTAGATTTAGATCAGAACCTTTAGAGTGTTTGTGGGTCTGGACCGTTAGTCAGGAGACCATGTGACGATAAAGTGACAGAGACACAACACGACCACGAGGAGACAAAAAATGAACGGACAAAAAACCACGACACGACCACAAGGAGACAAAGAAAATTACCATAAAGACACACAAAACAAACATCAAGATAAAACACGACCACACAGAGACAAAAATGGCCACAAAGCAAAGATACAAAATGATCAAAAATAGACACGACACGAACACAAAGAGACAAAAAATGACCACAAAGACACAATATCATCATAAGAGACGCAAAACAATCACAAAAAGACAGCAAATTACTGTAAAGACACACAAAATGAGCAGGAAGAGACACAAAATGAACGAAAAAAGACACAACATGATTACAAAAAGACAAAAAAATGACCAAGAAGAGACACAAAACAACCACAAAGACAAAATAAACAAAAAGAGACGCAACATGAAGAGACAGCGCTATCAGAGAGACAACAGTGACTGCAAAGAGACACAGAGACAGACAAAACAAACGATATGAGATATAGAACGACCACAAAAAGACATAGAACAGCTAAAAAACGACCACAAAATATCCATAAACAAACTAAATTACTGTGAAGTTCTCTCCAGATTTGTTTCCTTGTGAAATTCTCGTTGAGACACTTTGGACTCAGTTCATCACAGAACACTTGTTCAGTTTTTCATTTTCACTTTTTGAGCTTCCTTTCGTTGAGCCATCTTATCGTATCAAACACTCTTGAAAGCTAAAGAGATCAGAGCTCTGAGAGTTAAGACGAGACACACAGAAGGTGAAGGACGAACCTCTTAGCGCAGGTGTTGGAGCAGAACCTCTTGGATCCTCTGAACTGGCTGGCTGGAGCGAGGCTGCCACAGTACTCACACTTCAACACTGGGAGCAAATCAAAAACAACAACAGTCAGAAGAGCCGCACAGCTCCGCAGAACCAAATCTGATGAATGAACACAGCAGAACTCACAGGGGGGTCCGTTCTCTGTTCGGCCCACCAGAGCGAAATCTCTGTCTTTGAGGAGTCCGGCCACCTGCAGCAAGGGGGGACACAGGTGAGACACAGGTGAGACGCAAGGGAGACGCAAGGGAGAAACAGGGGGAGACACAGGTGAGACGCAGGTGAGACACAAAGTGAGACACAGGGGGAGACACAGGGGGAGACACAGGTGAGACGCAAGGGAGACGCAGGTGAGACGCAAGGGAGAAACGGGGGAGACACAGGGGGAGACAGAGGTGAGACGCAAGGGAGAAACGGGGGAGAAAAGGGGGAGACACAGGTGAGACGCAAGGGAGAAACGGGGGAGACACAGGGGGAGACAGAGGTGAGACGCAAGGGAGAAACGGGGGAGACACAGGGTAGACGTAAGGGAGATAGGGAAGACGCAGGGGGAGACACGGGGGAGACGCAGGGGGAGACACAGGGGGAGACGTAGGTAAGACACGGGGGGAGACACAGGGGGAGACACGGGGGGAGACACGGAGGGAGACGCCGCTCAGACGGAGGCTCAGCGTGACCGAACTTACCGGGAAGGGCTCGGCTCCCTCCTGGATCACGAAGCCCTCGATGAGGTGGGTGAGGACCTGAGGTTTGACCACCGCCTGAGGAACCGGAGCCCGGTCTTTGTCCCCGACTCTGGACAGGGGGAGAGGCAGCGAGAGGGTGGGGGGAGACGAGAAGGCCGCTTCGACCGGAGGAGCTGAAGGGTGGAAGGAAACAATGGAGAGATTTACTGTGAGCAGCCTGGACGCGGTTCTACCTGCACGGCAACAGAAAGGCATCAACCGGATCTAATATTTACAACCAGTGAGCCGGAAATGTTTAGAAATTAGATTAGATTCAACTTCATAATATAGAAATGCTTCGTATTGTTGTGACTGGCAGAAGTCTTATGAGTTCAATTCTCCATGAATAAATCTAAAGATATAAAAAAGCAGGCGAGTTATTTTAAGTCAGTAAAAGAACTCCGTAAGAAACCCAAGTTTCTAGATCTTGGACTTGTGTCTGGTGAGTTTGTTCGACGATAAAAATCCGGATTTTAGCTGCAGAGAACACAAACATGTTGCCTGAATGAGCTTCAGTCACTACTTCATACTAACGCTGCTGTCAGCAACAAAAACAGAACACAAGCTTCATTTTATTATAAACACGAGCACCACAGAACACCTCAGTTCATCGTGCTGCTGCTTTGCTCTGACATCCAAACTGCACAAACCGCTTTTTTTTTCCTTCCATTTCTTTCATTTTGGAAGAAACTTTAAAAGTCAGACTCTGCCGCCACGTCCTTGCAGCGAACCAACGGCTGGAGCCAAAAGACGCAACGACTACGCAGAAGAAAAACACGTGAAAAAAAATGTTGATGTTACTAACTATGCTGGCGAACAGTACTTTTAGGGGATTTTTAAGGGACTGCTGAGGACTTTTCTCTTCGTGGTCAGGGTGTTTACATCTCATGTGTTGCTATTTATAATCGTACAGCACTTCGGTTCAACTCCCGTCTCATTTTAAATGTGCTCCATATATACATTTGACTTGATCTGAGCCGACTACAGTTGATGATTCTTGCAGACTTGGACGGCATTAACTGCAATTCTACAACTTCATTTAGCTTTTATCCAAAGCAACGTACATCTGAGACGACACGAGCAAGGATCCAGTCAGTCAACTGCAGTCACTAATTAGAATTCAGTCGTACTTCTGCTCCTGCTTTGTGACGATTTGGACGCACCTGAGTCCTTCGTAGGTGCAGGAGATAAAGGAGGAGCCGAATCCTTCATGGCTGCGGAGTCTGAAGATTCTGTCATGTCGTTCGCTGCGTCGCAGTCTGATTTTCTCTTCAGAGAACCAACGGCAGGTTTTGTCTGACAACAGATTGAACAGTTACAGCTCCATGCATAAAGGTTTTCATCTGTACCACAGCAGCGCGTGCCTTCGGTCTTACCACAGCGGTGTTGTTGCCGACCGGACCTCCAGCAGATGCAGCGTCCTGGGCGCCGCCGCCTCGAGCCTGAGCCAGCGCCACCGCCTGAGCGTTCCCCGCCAAGCCCTGCCTGGCTCCCACCAGCTGCACTGGGATGTGAGGAGCGTTCACCTGGCTGTTGCTGGGAGGGGCTGGGAGGATGGGAGGTGGGTGTCGGGGGGGCAGCTGCACAGGTAGCCGGTGGCCCTGAGCCGTCTTGGGCTGGATGGGAACCGGACCTTTGTCCACGTTGGCGCTGGCCTGCTGCAGCGGCTGAACCACCAGAGTCTGAGTGTTGACGTTGGGTTTGGGCGCCACCGAGCCGATGGGGTAACCCTGGGTGGAGGTGGCGACGCTGGAGGTGGGCACCAGGAGGACGGGGGCAGCGGAGGAGGACAGCAGGAGCTGGGACAGAGGAAGAGCCGTGGAGGAAGAGGAGGAAGGAGCCACCGAGGCAGCCGGAGTCACAGTCTTCACGGTCAGGGGGCTGGCGGCCGACTGCTGCGTGAAGCCCGGTTTGGACATCTGCTGCTGCTGAGGCTGAACCTGCTGCTGCTGCGCCGTCGCAGGGAAGCTCTGCTGCTGGCCCACAGGAAAACCGTCCTTCCTCTCCGGGAGCTCAGACTTCACAGCAACAGCTTTTGGAGTGGAAACGCAGTGCAGAGCCAAGTTCTGTACCTGCGAGGCGACGAAAGAAGGAAGCTGTGGTGAAAAAACGTCTCCACCTAATGACTGACTTTAACCGTCTGAACAGCAAAACACAGGATTGAAAGGAACGGTGTCTTTACTAAAAAATAGAAAACCATCAAAATTATTCTTTATCTTAGAAGCAATTTTAAAAATAAATACACTGAAAAAAATGTGATGATTTTCAACTGTCTGTCTGATAATATTCTAAGACAGGGATGTCGAACTCTGGTCCTCAAGGGCTGCAATCCTGCATGTTCTAGATGTTTCCAACACACCTGATTCAAATGATCAGCTCATCATCAAGCTCTGCAGAAGTCTGATAACGATCCTGATTATTTGGTGTGTTGGAAGAAGGAAACATCTAAAACATGCAGGATTGCGGCCCTCGAGGACCGGATGTCGACACCCCTGTTCTAAGACAAAGAAATATTAAAACCTGAGCATAAAATCGCAACATTTCATTAAAATCACTTTATATTACAAGCCTTTTTTTTTTTTTTTAAGTGGAGCAGTCACAGAACACATTCACAGAGAGACAAGATGCAGCTTAAACCTTCCGAAACATGCTGGTGGGTTTAAAAAGCAGCTTATCTTTAGAAAACAGAGCAAGACTAAAACAAGCCAGTGACTATACAAACTGAAGGCAGTGTCAGATTTTCCCCTTCCAGATGTTTCTGAACTACTCGTGTTCAAAACTTTAATAAATCCGGATCAGAACCGTGATAATACGTCAAGACTACTTTATACGACATGTCTTGTTTTAAAGTCCACCAAAAACAAACCGCTTGTAACAGAATTCTGTGGGGGGAAAAAAAAAAAGATGCTGTGATCAACCATCAGAGTTTCCCGGTTGAACTGCAGGCGGTGTTTCCACAGAGAGACCTACTGGATCAATAACGGCTCAGACACAGTTCAGCTCGGTCCTCACATCACCGTAAGACAACACAAGTCCAACCTGATCGCTGTCCGACTGGGCCGTCGCGGTGGTAGAGGCGCCTTCGTGTTGCTGCTGTTGCTGTGGCTGAGTCTGAGCAACGGTTGCCACGGTAGCCGTCGCCGTACCACCAGGCATGAAGATGAGCTGAGAGGCAAGAGGAGCCCTGAGAGCCTGGAAGAGACGGACAAAGTTGGAAATGCTGATTATTTTGTTTTTTCCTCTTCAGAAAATTCTAACTGGGTTTTCTGCTGATGGAGTTTAGTTTATATGAGATCTGCAACGACACGCCTGTTAATCCTCCTTTGTTGAAATGGATGTGTTTAAAGGAGAATATTCCTAAACGTGTGTCGCACTTTGTCCTTTAGCTTGAAGTACTGAATGACTTTAGGTGGCAGCTCGCATTTTGTAAAGAAAGAAAAAATAAGCATTGATTAGATGTTTTTTCAAGTTCAAAAGTTTGTTCTGCATTTTGTAGGGACCACACAAGTCATGGAAAGTTGTCCACTAGTAAACTAATCAGCAACTGTCGTCATAATTGATTAGTAATTTGAATAATTTTTTCACTTGAAAAAAAAAAAGAAGTCTAAATTCTGTGATTTCAGCTTCTTCAACGTGAATAGTTTCTGCTTTCTTTCCTCCTCTATGACAGCAAACTGAAGATCTTTGGACAAAACTGATTTGAAATTGATCAATTTACAACAGGGGTCTCGAACTCCGGTCCTCAAGGGCCGCAATCCTGCATGTTTTAGATGTTTCCTTCTTCCAACACACCTGATTCAAATGATCAGCTCATCATCAAGCTCTGCAGAAGCCTGATAATGATCCTGATCATGTGAATCAGGTGTGTTGGAAAAGGGGAAACATCTAAAACTTGCAGGTTTGCGGCCCTCGAGGACCGGATGTCGACACCCCTGATTTACAACAATAAGAACTGTTAGTTGACTTCACATAGTGTCGTCTTAAAGCAGCTACCGACAGAGTTTCTAGTTTTGCTCAGTAAGAAACTGTCTCTGCTCTCAGAGCCGTAAACGTCTAGTTATGAATATCACACGATACCAACTCCATTCATAACCACCTGTGATGTAAAAAGCAGGCATTTAACTGATGTATTACTTCATGATGGGAGATCATTTGTGACTCACCCTGAGGAACATGGGTCCCTGTGCGGCAGAGTTTCCCCCCAGCAGCACCGACTGGTTCAGAGTCGTGGTTGTCGCAGACGTCACCGGACCGTGAGGACGAGGGCTGGTCATGGTTCCTCCTGCAGACGTGGTGCTTATGTTCACCTGCCAGGGACACAAGTGTTTTTTTTTTTTTGTTTTAAACGGACGTGCTACTTTTAACAAACTACTTTATTGAAGACTAAAGAAACTCACGGTGGTGGCCACTTGGGACATGCTGTTACTGGGAGTGTTGGACTGGCGGCTGGCGGCGAGCGTGGCCTGGTGTCAGGAGACAATGAGCAGAACAGGTTGTAATGCTTTCGTTTAACGTGACTTTGCTCCGACTCTATGTTCTCGTCATACTTCTGGTTACCTGTTGCACGGCGGCCAGGTTGTGGAGTTGAGCGTTGTTGATCTGCTGCTGCAGCATGAGATGCTGGAAGTACTGAGCTGCCTGCGGCTGCCTCTGCAGAGCCTGAAGAGCCTGAACACACACACACAGGGCTTTAGGGCGAACTCAAGGCTTTTTGCTTAAATTTTGTTTTCAGTTTAACACATTCAACTTGTTTCTGCACACAGACTCTCACCTGCACAGCTTGTCTCTCGTACAGAGACATGTGCGCGATCTGAGGTGCTCTGGAGTTCCCACTGGCCTGAGGAGTCCCATTAGTGGTGCCGCCCGTGTTCTGTTCTTCACCTGCATCCATGTTTCCTGCTCAAAACCAAAAGAGTCACTCATCAAAGGGAGCTGTGACAGATTCACTGTGCAGCATGCAGACTTTCTATCCGCTGCACATGATTTAACTGTAAATATCTTGTCATGCACAAGAGACGTCTGTCTGGTAGAACTTCATTTACTCTGATTTACGGCTTCTTGGAGACACAGAGATTGTTGACCTCCAGCAACATGAACAGAAACGAGAGAGTAACTCAGAAAAAGCAAGATTTCGCTGTCAAAAGAAATATTTCAGATACAGAAAGAATGATGTCGACCAAAAGCGTATGGAAAGTTTAAAAAAGGGACATTTTTTCTTCTGTGCAAATGAAGTTTTAAACAAACACATTGTTTAGTTGCAACAAGTTGCACAAGCAGCTGAACAACGACAAAACAAGAGTGCCCAAAACCACTCAAAACTCTTCTAAAATCAATTAATTTGCCCAAAATGACACAAAGTATGTAGAAAATGAATCTGAAACTGTGCAAAATGAATCGAAACTGGTCCAAAATACGACCTGAAATGGTTCCCAAATTATTCAACAAGTGTCCAACATGACAAAAAAAGATTTCCAAAAGTACTTCAAGTTGCAGAAAATAAGTTGAAACTTCAAAATACAACACTGACCCAGAAGCTGCAGCTATACTTCATGCAATTACATTTGCAATTATTTGTTTTTACATTATAAGTTTTCACAACAATTAAAAAAGCCAAACTTTATCAACCGTTTCAGTTTTCAACCAGTTGGAGGATGCATAAAAGAGCTCATTGTTCTGTCTGTGAGTTCTGCTGTTGTTCTTCATGTCCAGTCTGTCTGCATCAGTAAATGTTCAGCTTTAGGAACCAGAACATGGACTGTTTGGCCTGCAGACAACAGCTGTGAGTAACAATAACTTATTTAACCCGACACTGACACCGTGTGTCTCCTGTAAAAGCCGACTGTCTCCGGCACTAAGCAGCTTTCTGGTACTTTGTTGAGCACGCCAGATGTCAACATGATGGATGAGAGAAGGAACAACATGGAGGAAAAGTTGAAAACACCACAGCAGCTAAGCTAGCCAGCGGCGGCTAACTACAATAGATCAGAGCTCGTTAGCAAATCTGAGCGACAGTCTGACAGATTAAACTGGATAAAATGTCCGGGACAGGGATGAAGCAGCGGGCAGAGCGAATAAAAGCAGCAGAGTTAGAAGTTTATTACGAACATTTAACGAGTCGGTGAGTGGAAAAGCTGCAGCGCTGGTTCAAACACATGCTAACAGGTTAGCATGCTAGCAGTTTTCTGCAGGCACAACAAGCAGTGAGCGGAGTTCAGCTGCTGTCAGCGGGTGAAGCTTCTCCGTGTTTTCAGTTTTTACCTTTTCTTCTGTCCGTCCGCAGCTAAACACCCAGTTTTTATTCCGCTCAGAGCTTCAGAGGGAAAACTAAAATCTACCGAAGCAACAGAAATTCAGGTTTTACCTCCAACCAGGCCCCGCCCCTTTTTAGGCTTCTTCTTCTGCGCCTCCTTTGAGAGTCAACAGCGGCTGACGTGACGCCGCCCCCTGCTGGTGGGAGAGAGGAGCACAGCGTCGGAGTTTAGAAAAAGAAAAAGAATAAAACAACAAAAACACACAAAAATTAACAATAAAACAAGCAACAAAAACTGCAACTCCTGCCCTTTTCTTTTGCTTCTTCTTTTAGCTTCAACAGCGGCAGGAAAAAAAGCGAGTTAGAGTGATACCACCCCCAGCTGGTGGGAAGGAGGAGTACAGCGTTTGGGTTTACAACATGCGCACAAAACAAACACAAAACAAAAACACAACAAATGAAAAAAACAAACAAATAAAAGCACTGGAAACAAAAAAAAGACAAATACAAACAAACGACACCATAAAAAACAACAAAATAGAAAATACAAACCAAAAAACACAACCAATAAACGAACCAAAGTAACAAACAAAATTCCACAAATGAAACAAAAACAAATAAAAACGTAAACAAACTAAACAAAAACAAACTAATTAGACAAACAAAAACCCACAAAGTAAAAAATAAATGACAACAAACAAAAACAAACACACAACACAATAAAACAAATAAACAAAATAGCAAATACAAACCAAACAACAAAAAACAAAAACAAAATAGAAAATATAAACCAAACAACAAAAAACAAAACAAAAGCAAAAACAGGAGCAAAAATAAAAACAAAACGCAAACAAGAACACAAAAATGTAAACAAACTAAAATTTAAACAAACACAAAGCCACATAATAAAAACAAACAGTAACAAAAACAAGGAATCGACAACAAAGCCCAACTTAAGTTTTCTTCTTCTTCAGACTAGTGTCCCGTCTTTTTCTTTTCAGCTCAATTCAGTGTTTTTATTGGCACGTCTATCATGTGAATAATGAGAAAAGAGTCGCCATCTTTTTCTTCCTCCTCTGCTTCTTCTTGTTTGTGTTTGTTTTTTTTTTACCTCCACTGTCGTTTCCAGCTTTGTCTGTATCTGTTGTGTCACGTGATGGATCGTATCACAGTCACAACGCTGGCGCTTCTTTCTCAACCTTCATTTGCCTTCAGCTCAGCTCCACGAGTCCTGACACGTCTGGACGGGTGTGTTGTTCCTCTGTACTGATTTGAATGATCAAATAAATCCTCCTCAGGCCTTTTTTTCTGTTCTTAATGTTCTGTTGGACAAACTGTGAGCAGATGCAGGGAGTGAAACATTTGTTTTGTAAGACTGAACCGAGCTGGCTCAGTCGGTGCCAAGTCACCCAGATATCAGAACTTTTAGCTTCATGTCACGGTTTGTTCTTCTTTTCTTAAATGAATGATGCAAAAACTTCCACCTAAACCAGGGAACCTCGCAAAACCTGACAGTTTCACTCCAAATACTTGTTGAACATCTTTCATTTTTTAATGTTTTCAGCCGATTCTACCTTCAAGAAGGTTCAAGGAAATCTAAACAATCCTTCCTGGAAAAAAAAAAAAAGCTGTTAAAATGTCCTAAAAAGAGGATTTTTCAGCTCTGAAGCTACTTGTAGGAGTCCATTTGTTGATGCAGCACCAAATAACAATTTGTTATCACAAAACTGAGCTGCTTCTACCCACAAGAAAGAAAAAAAAAGGTTTTATTAGTGGAGATATTAATTTTTCAAAAAAATCATATTTTTTGTTTTGATGATAAATTATAGATTTTTATTAATTTGATTTATGTAAAAATAACAACAACAATAACATTAATACTAATAAATCAACATAAGCTACAGACATGATCACAAGTTTCAGCTTTTTCTGGGATATTCAGTAAAAAAAATAAAATAAAAAAAAAAAAACAAAACAGCCAAATCCTGTGAAAAGCCTTTAAAAGAATCATGAAGTTATAAAAATCAACACAGACTGCCTATTTTCAAAAATTCGTAACTCAAACAGTATTTGAAGCAGAGTTGTGGGAAGTTTTCGCCTGATTGATTTCAAGAACATCCATGAGCTCAATGACCCGGCTCTGCTCAGGAGGAGTGTTTGTCGTGTGGCTCAACCTAAAGTCAAATTAATCATCAGAGAGAATTTTTGTTTCACCAACAGGTTTCTTGAAACGACACAAACATGTGACAAAACACAGTGATTGTGTAGATGTTGATTATTTTTTATGTCCTATTTTGACATCTTGAACCTTTAGTCTTTAGTCTTTAGATGGACACTTGGAGGAACCAAATCCCACAAACACTGTTGGACACCAGAACAACTGATGTGGAGCAAAGCAAAGACTCTGATGAGTGAAGAAGAGGACGAAGACGTTTGGACATTTTTATAGCAGGTGTTAAAATTGATCGATAGCATCTTTAAAATACACGTCTTACTGTGTTTTGTCACTTGTTTATGTCATTTGAAGCAGAAGAAACCTGTTGGTAAAATAAAATATCACTATAAATGTAGACCTGACTGCTGGAGGATGAATACTTTGGATTTAACTGACTGCCTGCATGGATCAATGACCGACTGCAGCCATCAGGGGGCGCTGTTGCACAGTCTTTACATTCAGAGCACCATGGTCTGAATGTTGGAGATAAATGACCTTCTGACCCTGAAGCTCCGTGTTATTACCAATTAAAAGCAGGTTTGAACCAGACGTCACCACATTCAGATCATTTCCATTTTAAAGGCGAATGAACTCTGGTCCGATCCGTCTGAAGGAACCGAGACGCTGAAGGACGGAAACATTCAAATCGTCTGCAGCCAAGTGTGAAGAAACGTTTTCCACCAACCCAGACAGGAGGGAACGTTCCCTACAAGTTCTACTGACGTTTTAAAGAAAACATTTCACACAAAGTTGCTGTGAGGTTAAAAAAAACCTAAAGTTTTAACATTCTGAAGACGTTTGGAGAACGTTGTCAGATTGTGAAAACTGAAGAAGAACGTTCTCGAACCAACACTAAAAATAAGATGCTTTTAATATGTTCTCGAGGCCTCAGAAGACGGAACGTTTTCTTTAATAAAACGTTCCTGTATTGTGATATCATAACAAAGGTGGAACGTTCTGCCTGCAACATTCTGAGGATGTTTGGAGAACGTTGTTAGATTATGAAAACTGAAGAAGAATGTTCTCGAATCGACGTTTAAAAAAGATGTTTTCAATATGTTCTCTCGGCCTCACAAGACGGAACGTTTTCTTTAATAAAACGTTCCCGTAATGGGATTGATTAATACCAACATTCTGAGGATGTTTTGTGGACGTTGTTGAGGGAACACATCGTAGGACATTCTTTTATAAGATGTTTCCACAAGACAACAGAGGAAGAACGTTCTCAAACAACATTCAAAAAATGTTTTTGAGGCTTCAGAGGCTTTCTATAAAACCTTCTTGTAACTTTACACATCAACAAAAGCGGAACGTTCTGCCTGCAACGCTCTAAGGACGTTGTTGAGGAACATGTTGTGGAACTATAAATCATTTTTAGAGAACTTTATTCACTTCTAAGAAGAAAATTCTAAACGTCGCCTAAACTTTAGAACTTTCTCAGGTTAAAGTTCTCGGTGAGAACTTGTGAAACAGAACATCTGGCCGGCAGAACGCTGTTTTAAAACAACGACACAAAAGCAGAAACGTTCAGAATGAGCAGAACGGAGGAGGTTCCGGGCAGATCGACTGAAAACCAACCAAACCATAAATCATGTTCTGTGTGAGGTGAAGCCGTTGGTGGTTTCGGCTGCAGGAGGAACTCTGAATCGACAGAGCCACTCTCTTCGTGTCCATGTTTTCTCTCGTAATCAAATTTTCCCTCTACCTGCCGGGAGATGCTGGTTTCCATGGTAACATGACGGGATCCAGACGGATGCTGAGGCGACAGGAAGCAGCGTCAGAGGAGCGAAGAGCAAAGCTGGAGCCGAAAGGGTGGAACCTGAACTTCTGCACGTAGCTCGTTTCCGCTTTACTTTTAGGGAGGGTTTGACCTGTTTTTTTTTTTTTTTAAGTCGAGACGACGATTCCCCAGAAAGACAGAAAAGGCAGAAGCCGACCACATTAAAGGGAACCAGAGGCTGTGACGTAAAGTCGGTGTCACAACTGGTTTCCGGCCTTTAGTTCCCTCTGAGCTGCAGCGATTTTATTAATCAGACGTGACGACACAAGTCGGCTGAAAATGTCCAATAAAAACAGAAACTCACTGCAGACATGTGGTTCAGAAAGTCACTTCAGAGATATTCTAACGTAGTCCTACGCCGTAAAACGTCAACGTTTCTGTCAACAGTCTTCAGCGATTTGTTTCAGTAGTTTAGTTTTATTTTACAGATTTATGTTTGACCATAAAATGACACTATTGTCAANTTGTTTTAAACGGACGTGCTACTTTTAACAAACTACTTTATTGAAGACTAAAGAAACTCACGGTGGTGGCCACTTGGGACATGCTGTTACTGGGAGTGTTGGACTGGCGGCTGGCGGCGAGCGTGGCCTGGTGTCAGGAGACAATGAGCAGAACAGGTTGTAATGCTTTCGTTTAACGTGACTTTGCTCCGACTCTATGTTCTCGTCATACTTCTGGTTACCTGTTGCACGGCGGCCAGGTTGTGGAGTTGAGCGTTGTTGATCTGCTGCTGCAGCATGAGATGCTGGAAGTACTGAGCTGCCTGCGGCTGCCTCTGCAGAGCCTGAAGAGCCTGAACACACACACACAGGGCTTTAGGGCGAACTCAAGGCTTTTTGCTTAAATTTTGTTTTCAGTTTAACACATTCAACTTGTTTCTGCACACAGACTCTCACCTGCACAGCTTGTCTCTCGTACAGAGACATGTGCGCGATCTGAGGTGCTCTGGAGTTCCCACTGGCCTGAGGAGTCCCATTAGTGGTGCCGCCCGTGTTCTGTTCTTCACCTGCATCCATGTTTCCTGCTCAAAACCAAAAGAGTCACTCATCAAAGGGAGCTGTGACAGATTCACTGTGCAGCATGCAGACTTTCTATCCGCTGCACATGATTTAACTGTAAATATCTTGTCATGCACAAGAGACGTCTGTCTGGTAGAACTTCATTTACTCTGATTTACGGCTTCTTGGAGACACAGAGATTGTTGACCTCCAGCAACATGAACAGAAACGAGAGAGTAACTCAGAAAAAGCAAGATTTCGCTGTCAAAAGAAATATTTCAGATACAGAAAGAATGATGTCGACCAAAAGCGTATGGAAAGTTTAAAAAAGGGACATTTTTTCTTCTGTGCAAATGAAGTTTTAAACAAACACATTGTTTAGTTGCAACAAGTTGCACAAGCAGCTGAACAACGACAAAACAAGAGTGCCCAAAACCACTCAAAACTCTTCTAAAATCAATTAATTTGCCCAAAATGACACAAAGTATGTAGAAAATGAATCTGAAACTGTGCAAAATGAATCGAAACTGGTCCAAAATACGACCTGAAATGGTTCCCAAATTATTCAACAAGTGTCCAACATGACAAAAAAAGATTTCCAAAAGTACTTCAAGTTGCAGAAAACAAGTTGAAACTTCAAAATACAACACTGACCCAGAAGCTGCAGCTATACTTCATGCAATTACATTTGCAATTATTTGTTTTTACATTATAAGTTTTCACAACAATTAAAAAAGCCAAACTTTATCAACCGTTTCAGTTTTCAACCAGTTGGAGGATGCATAAAAGAGCTCATTGTTCTGTCTGTGAGTTCTGCTGTTGTTCTTCATGTCCAGTCTGTCTGCATCAGTAAATGTTCAGCTTTAGGAACCAGAACATGGACTGTTTGGCCTGCAGACAACAGCTGTGAGTAACAATAACTTATTTAACCCGACACTGACACCGTGTGTCTCCTGTAAAAGCCGACTGTCTCCGGCACTAAGCAGCTTTCTGGTACTTTGTTGAGCACGCCAGATGTCAACATGATGGATGAGAGAAGGAACAACATGGAGGAAAAGTTGAAAACACCACAGCAGCTAAGCTAGCCAGCGGCGGCTAACTACAATAGATCAGAGCTCGTTAGCAAATCTGAGCGACAGTCTGACAGATTAAACTGGATAAAATGTCCGGGACAGGGATGAAGCAGCGGGCAGAGCGAATAAAAGCAGCAGAGTTAGAAGTTTATTACGAACATTTAACGAGTCGGTGAGTGGAAAAGCTGCAGCGCTGGTTCAAACACATGCTAACAGGTTAGCATGCTAGCAGTTTTCTGCAGGCACAACAAGCAGTGAGCGGAGTTCAGCTGCTGTCAGCGGGTGAAGCTTCTCCGTGTTTTCAGTTTTTACCTTTTCTTCTGTCCGTCCGCAGCTAAACACCCAGTTTTTATTCCGCTCAGAGCTTCAGAGGGAAAACTAAAATCTACCGAAGCAACAGAAATTCAGGTTTTACCTCCAACCAGGCCCCGCCCCTTTTTAGGCTTCTTCTTCTGCGCCTCCTTTGAGAGTCAACAGCGGCTGACGTGACGCCGCCCCCTGCTGGTGGGAGAGAGGAGCACAGCGTCGGAGTTTAGAAAAAGAAAAAGAATAAAACAACAAAAACACACAAAAATTAACAATAAAACAAGCAACAAAAACTGCAACTCCTGCCCTTTTCTTTTGCTTCTTCTTTTAGCTTCAACAGCGGCAGGAAAAAAAGCGAGTTAGAGTGATACCACCCCCAGCTGGTGGGAAGGAGGAGTACAGCGTTTGGGTTTACAACATGCGCACAAAACAAACACAAAACAAAAACACAACAAATGAAAAAAACAAACAAATAAAAGCACTGGAAACAAAAAAAAGACAAATACAAACAAACGACACCATAAAAAACAACAAAATAGAAAATACAAACCAAAAAACACAACCAATAAACGAACCAAAGTAACAAACAAAATTCCACAAATGAAACAAAAACAAATAAAAACGTAAACAAACTAAACAAAAACAAACTAATTAGACAAACAAAAACCCACAAAGTAAAAAATAAATGACAACAAACAAAAACAAACACACAACACAATAAAACAAATAAACAAAATAGCAAATACAAACCAAACAACAAAAAACAAAAACAAAATAGAAAATATAAACCAAACAACAAAAAACAAAACAAAAGCAAAAACAGGAGCAAAAATAAAAACAAAACGCAAACAAGAACACAAAAATGTAAACAAACTAAAATTTAAACAAACACAAAGCCACATAATAAAAACAAACAGTAACAAAAACAAGGAATCGACAACAAAGCCCAACTTAAGTTTTCTTCTTCTTCAGACTAGTGTCCCGTCTTTTTCTTTTCAGCTCAATTCAGTGTTTTTATTGGCACGTCTATCATGTGAATAATGAGAAAAGAGTCGCCATCTTTTTCTTCCTCCTCTGCTTCTTCTTGTTTGTGTTTGTTTTTTTTTTACCTCCACTGTCGTTTCCAGCTTTGTCTGTATCTGTTGTGTCACGTGATGGATCGTATCACAGTCACAACGCTGGCGCTTCTTTCTCAACCTTCATTTGCCTTCAGCTCAGCTCCACGAGTCCTGACACGTCTGGACGGGTGTGTTGTTCCTCTGTACTGATTTGAATGATCAAATAAATCCTCCTCAGGCCTTTTTTTCTGTTCTTAATGTTCTGTTGGACAAACTGTGAGCAGATGCAGGGAGTGAAACATTTGTTTTGTAAGACTGAACCGAGCTGGCTCAGTCGGTGCCAAGTCACCCAGATATCAGAACTTTTAGCTTCATGTCACGGTTTGTTCTTCTTTTCTTAAATGAATGATGCAAAAACTTCCACCTAAACCAGGGAACCTCGCAAAACCTGACAGTTTCACTCCAAATACTTGTTGAACATCTTTCATTTTTTAATGTTTTCAGCCGATTCTACCTTCAAGAAGGTTCAAGGAAATCTAAACAATCCTTCCTGGAAAAAAAAAAAAAGCTGTTAAAATGTCCTAAAAAGAGGATTTTTCAGCTCTGAAGCTACTTGTAGGAGTCCATTTGTTGATGCAGCACCAAATAACAATTTGTTATCACAAAACTGAGCTGCTTCTACCCACAAGAAAGAAAAAAAAAGGTTTTATTAGTGGAGATATTAATTTTTCAAAAAAATCATATTTTTTGTTTTGATGATAAATTATAGATTTTTATTAATTTGATTTATGTAAAAATAACAACAACAATAACATTAATACTAATAAATCAACATAAGCTACAGACATGATCACAAGTTTCAGCTTTTTCTGGGATATTCAGTAAAAAAAATAAAATAAAAAAAAAAAAACAAAACAGCCAAATCCTGTGAAAAGCCTTTAAAAGAATCATGAAGTTATAAAAATCAACACAGACTGCCTATTTTCAAAAATTCGTAACTCAAACAGTATTTGAAGCAGAGTTGTGGGAAGTTTTCGCCTGATTGATTTCAAGAACATCCATGAGCTCAATGACCCGGCTCTGCTCAGGAGGAGTGTTTGTCGTGTGGCTCAACCTAAAGTCAAATTAATCATCAGAGAGAATTTTTGTTTCACCAACAGGTTTCTTGAAACGACACAAACATGTGACAAAACACAGTGATTGTGTAGATGTTGATTATTTTTTATGTCCTATTTTGACATCTTGAACCTTTAGTCTTTAGTCTTTAGATGGACACTTGGAGGAACCAAATCCCACAAACACTGTTGGACACCAGAACAACTGATGTGGAGCAAAGCAAAGACTCTGATGAGTGAAGAAGAGGACGAAGACGTTTGGACATTTTTATAGCAGGTGTTAAAATTGATCGATAGCATCTTTAAAATACACGTCTTACTGTGTTTTGTCACTTGTTTATGTCATTTGAAGCAGAAGAAACCTGTTGGTAAAATAAAATATCACTATAAATGTAGACCTGACTGCTGGAGGATGAATACTTTGGATTTAACTGACTGCCTGCATGGATCAATGACCGACTGCAGCCATCAGGGGGCGCTGTTGCACAGTATTTACATTCAGAGCACCATGGTCTGAATGTTGGAGATAAATGACCTTCTGACCCTGAAGCTCCGTGTTATTACCAATTAAAAGCAGGTTTGAACCAGACGTCACCACATTCAGATCATTTCCATTTTAAAGGCGACTGAACTCTGGTCCGATCCGTCTGAAGGAACCGAGACGCTGAAGGACGGAAACATTCAAATCGTCTGCAGGCAAGTTTGAAGAAACGTTTTCCACCAACCCAGACAGGAGGGAACGTTCCCTACAAGTTCTACTGACGTTTTAAAGAAAACATTTCACACAATGTTGCTGTGAGATTAAAAAAAACCTAAAGTTTTAACATTCTGAAGACGTTTGGAGAACGTTGTCAGATTGTGAAAACTGAAGAAGAACGTTCTCGAACCAACACTAAAAATAAGATGCTTTTAATATGTTCTCGAGGCCTCAGAAGACGGAACGTTTTCTTTAATAAAACGTTCCTGTATTGTGATATCATAACAAAGGTGGAACGTTCTGCCTGCAACATTCTGAGGATGTTTGGAGAACGTTGTTAGATTATGAAAACTGAAGAAGAATGTTCTCGAATCGACGTTTAAAAAAGATGTTTTCAATATGTTCTCTCGGCCTCACAAGACGGAACGTTTTCTTTAATAAAACGTTCCCGTAATGGGATTGATTAATACCAACATTCTGAGGATGTTTTGTGGACGTTGTTGAGGGAACACATCGTAGGACATTCTTTTATAAGATGTTTCCACAAGACAACAGAGGAAGAACGTTCTCAAACAACATTCAAAAAATGTTTTTTCAGAAGACAGACTGTCTTTCTATGAAACGTTCTTGTAACTTTACACATTAATAAAAGCGGAACATTCTGCCTGCAACGCTCTAAGGACGTTGTTGAGGAACATGTTGTGGAACTATAAATCATTTTTAGAGAACTTTATTCACTTCTAAGAAGAAAATTCTAAACGTCGCCTAAACTTTAGAACTTTCTCAGGTTAAAGTTCTCGGTGAGAACTTGTGAAACAGAACATCTGGCCGGCAGAACGCTGTTTTAAAACAACGACACAAAAGCAGAAACGTTCAGAATGAGCAGAACGGAGGAGGTTCCGGGCAGATCGACTGAAAACCAACCAAACCATAAATCATGTTCTGTGTGAGGTGAAGCCGTTGGTGGTTTCGGCTGCAGGAGGAACTCTGAATCGACAGAGCCACTCTCTTCGTGTCCATGTTTTCTCTCGTAATCAAATTTTCCCTCTACCTGCCGGGAGATGCTGGTTTCCATGGTAACATGACGGGATCCAGACGGATGCTGAGGCGACAGGAAGCAGCGTCAGAGGAGCGAAGAGCAAAGCTGGAGCCGAAAGGGTGGAACCTGAACTTCTGCACGTAGCTCGTTTCCGCTTTACTTTTAGGGAGGGTTTGACCTGTTTTTTTTTTTTTTTAAGTCGAGACGACGATTCCCCAGAAAGACAGAAAAGGCAGAAGCCGACCACATTAAAGGGAACCAGAGGCTGTGACGTAAAGTCGGTGTCACAACTGGTTTCCGGCCTTTAGTTCCCTCTGAGCTGCAGCGATTTTATTAATCAGACGTGACGACACAAGTCGGCTGAAAATGTCCAATAAAAACAGAAACTCACTGCAGACATGTGGTTCAGAAAGTCACTTCAGAGATATTCTAACGTAGTCCTACGCCGTAAAACGTCAACGTTTCTGTCAACAGTCTTCAGCGATTTGTTTCAGTAGTTTAGTTTTATTTTACAGATTTATGTTTGACCATAAAATGACACTATTGTCAATATCATAGAGGAAGAAAACAATCATTTATAAACCCTTTAGGACGAGTTTCAAGTCATTCTGGGCAGTTTTTAACTTATTTTAGACAGTTTTTAGTTCATTTAGGACCATTTTTGAGCCATTTATGATGAGCTGCAAGACATTAAGATCAGTTTTGAACTGATTTTGTACAAGTTTTAAATTATCTTGAACAGATTATATCTTATTTTGGTTACGTTTCAAGACATTTTGTTCTGTTTTTAACTTATTTAGGGCAACCTTAAGTGATTTTTAGCAGTTTTAACTTATGTTGGACAAATTTCAAGACATTTTGGACAATTGTTTAGCTTATTTTAGACAGTGTTTAACTCATTTTTGAGCCATTTAGGATGAGTTTCAAGTCATTTTCGGCAGTGTTGAACTAATTTTGCATGTTTGTTATGTTAGACAGATTGTCACTCATTTTGCATGCGTTTTAAGAAATTTTGTTTTCTTTTGAGTTCATTTAGGGCACATTTAAAGTCATTTTTAACAGTTTTAACTTATTTTAGACAAATTTCAAGAATTTTTGAACAGTTTTAACTCCTTTAGGACCATTTTTGGACACCTTTAGTGCAATTTTGGACGCATTTCTGATTGTTGTGGACAGTTTTTAAAAGATTTTTTAAGCAAACTCAGAGGTACTTTGGGAGAAGTTGGGTCATCTTGAACCATTTTTCGATCATTTTTTAAATAGGGAGTAACTTTGAACAAGTTTAAAGTCATT